AAAATTGACTCCGAAATTGACTTTGCCCCCCTTCCCTGCCTCCGAGGTATCAGGGCGCTCCTGGCTATCGAACCAAAAAGATATTAGTAGGAGAAGTAGGAAAGTAGTAGTATTCTGGATAAAAAAAAATTTCAGTTTCGTTTTTTTTTCTGTAATGATGTTGTGACAGCAATGCTATTTACTGATCTGTGCTAATGAGTAAAACCAATGAATAAAGAAGATCATCCGTTCAATATACAGTAATAGTGAGAAGAGAAAGAGAGAAAAAAATAGAGACGATACACCTCAGGAGACATTGATATAATTAAATACAGTTAGACGAAGAGAAAAGAAGAAAAAAAAATAGTGAATTACTCTAATCAAGATTTTTCTTTTAGTGACAGGAATATTACGTTCGTATAGTACCTATATATGCAGATGACACCTCGTTAATTGCCTTCAACCAGCAAGAACCAATTGGCATCGAACAAAAAAAGAGAAAAAAAATAAATACTTTAAATAATAGAATAAGTCAGAAACACACGCTGTTTGAGAGATATTACATTAGAACGATATGCACTATCAGACACACAAACGATTATTTTAATATTGAAGGATGGTGCGTTAATGATACAGATAGAATTTTGAAAATAATTGAACATTACATAATAAAACGACAAAAATCAATTTGACATTTCCATCAACAGAAACGTGTGTGCATCGTCAACGAATATTTATACTAAAGACATATCGGTAAGTTATGTGAATGGAAATGGATAGAGTGACATAAAGATTTCTAAAGAAAAAGATAGTGATTTTTATTATCAGAGGTAGCATCGGTTAGTTTACTAGGATTAGATATCTATCTCTGTTTATTACTTTAATCATAACTTATTTATTAGAAAGTAAGAGAAATAGAAAAGATTAACGATATTGTATAAAAAAACCTTTGGAGATTTTGCCTATTGTATAAAAGCAGCAATTATTTTCCGTATCTCAACACTTCTAATGGTATTTGTTTGCGTGCTATTAATGTCTTAACCAAAAACTGTCGTCTATTCTTTAGCTTTTCTTCGTATAGAAAATTTATACCTCAAATTCAAGATCATTTCTTGAAAAAAATTTTGCGATAGTATTAGTTTGTGAATCAGAATTGTATCAGCAAAGTCAAAGGCATATGAATTGAATATCCTTCCTAGAAAGAATGTTATTTTGGACTATGACATAATGTTCTTAATTATCAGAGTTTATTTATCCTCTCATTTATTGGTTAGTTAGTATCTGACTGATCTGAAGTTACTGGAACAAGCTTTTTTTTGTGTATCAATGAAATTTAGTAAGAAATTGCTTATTATACTTTTTGAAAAGTATTCAGACTTTTTGTATGTTAATCTTACAATAACAATCCGATGACGAGAAAAATGGATCTTTACGGTCTATCTTCATGATGGAATAAAATCAATATGCCATTTATTTCTACTTGAGATGTATAACTAATTGGCATTATTTAAAGGAGCTGTGATTAATGTGTTAATAAGTATAGATATATATATACACACAAGAGAATAAGTCGATTAGTGCTGGCGCATGCACCATTTGAAAGTATTTATCTATCCAGAGTGAGAGAAAATAACTCAAATGTTTGAATGAATTAATTATTTAAGCTCATTTAAAGAGAAATATGTGTACAGAGAAAAAAAATAAATAAACGTGTAAGATAATTTGATAAGTTCACAGGACAATAATTACTTAGATATCTTACTCATAATTTTTTTTTGAAACTATTTTTCTATAAATACTTAAATATTCAGTGTAACGGATGATCGATCGTTCCAAAAAAAGCTTTTTGATATTGATCTATTCATAGTCACTTGTAAATTAAGTCAACTCGTATATAAAGATTAAAACGTTTTCATGTTGTACAACACGCTTGAAAAAAAATATTATGATGTCAATTATTCAAATTGTAGTAGCTGACTTAACATTCTATAAACACGTTACTTATCAAATTTGTTGCTCTCACTTTGACTCGATTTGAGTCCGTATTCATTGTCTTTTACAAATCAGATTAGCTTTAGAGTATCTTTCTTTCTAGATACGGCATATGGGAGACAATAATAATAATACTTATTCTAATAGTGAAGGTAGTGGAGATAGTCGAGAAGATGACGGTGTTCGTCATATGCATGAAGATGATACTACTACAACATCACCACCAAGTCATGGATGGTCAAGCGATGAAAAAGAAAATATTTCACCTATTTGTCAATGTTGTGGAAAAAGTTTTGCTAATCAATCGAATTTAAGACATCATATTGAAGTTATACATAATAAAACAAATAAATGGAGATGTACTTTGTGTGGAAAAGTAAGACACAATATTTATTTAGCTTCATTTATTAATGTTTATTTTTTCTTTTGAAAAAATTAACAGGTATGTTCAAGTAAATCCAATTTAAAAGTCCATTTTCGTGTTCACGTTCGTGTTAAGGTTTATTATTGTAAATTTTGTGAATATTCTTGTATGCATCATAGTTCAATACGTGATCATTTAACCAAAACACATCCAGACAAACAACACTCAACATTAGAACCAGGGTATGGTTGGATTGAATTATCACTTTCAAATTCAGAGAAATAATGTCTTTTCTCTTCGTTTTAGTTATAATTTTAATGCACAAGCGGTACCCGAACCGGATCAGTTCAATGCCGTTGATTTTGATCCAATTGAGTTTGTTAAACAAAGTAATAATACCCGACACACATTAACACCACAAAATGAGATTGTGACACCACGACAACTAATCTCACCAGTAGCTAAAAAACGTAAAAGTGATTCCAATCTTGTATCACGACCAAAACAACAACACGCACCTCTATCATTCAATCAACCACCTGTGCCACAACAACAATTTCGACGAGATGCACCAACAAATCAAACATATCCATTTTTGCCATTTCCGGGTTTTGGTCTAGCTTATTCTCCGTTTGCCCTTTATTCTGGTCTCGTTCCCAGTAGTTTTCTTCCAATGTTCAATGCGGTAGCCGAAGGTTCACATACTACCACTAATACAACGACAACGACAACGACACCGTCAACAATAGAAACTCATTCTACTATTGTTACTACGCCGTCCTCCAATCGATCTTTGCGTGTATCAAATAGTTTAAAATCATCTAGTCCTCCAGTTCCAAAAGCTGCCCATCAGTCTCATTTGCAACCAACAAGTTCGAGTGCATTTATTCCGTACACGTATTCGGTTGATGGTCTTTTAAATTTAACAATTGGTTCAAAGGCTTCCACATCGAATGATGCTACTACCTCATCATCAACATCTCCAAAAAAACGACGACGAGAAAAGAGTATTGATAAAAATCTCGATGAAGAAAATGATGAAAATAAATCAAGCTATCCATGTCATCATTGTCGTTTATCATTTTTTGATAAACAAACATTTCAATTACATTCTCGTCTTCATACATCCAATGATAATCCATGGAAATGCAGAATATGTGGAGAAGAAACAAAGAATGACAAGGAATTTCTTATTCATATTCTCAAATATAATTATCATTCACTGAACAAAAATGATTAGATTTTTACTTTGCTTCGTCGTTTTCGTTGTTTTTCCTAGTCATTTATTTTCTTGTAAGAATAATAAATAATTGTTATCAAACAGATTTCTTTCAACTTTTGCTTATCTTTTTATTGCTACAAACTCTATTCTTCCCTAGTCACAAATAGCTAGTTATTTAAAAAAAGAACTTATTTTTATGTTGTAATATACAAACGCGATTGATAGATAAATGAAAAGAGAAACTAAAATAATGAAGAAACTAAGAAACATGGCATTGTCAAAATCTTAATGAGATATCAAGACCATTTGATGTTTCCGCTCTTAAAATTTCTTCACTTGATCTCCTACTCGACGGTTTCAGATGAAGTTCAGCAGGTCCGAAAAAGTGAGAGTTCATAGAAAATTTCCAAAAATCCTTGAGAATTCTTATATTTCATCGACGTTTACAGAAAGTCTCTAAATATTTCTCATTCTTCAAAGGTTAGGGTAGAATTTTGTGTACTCTAGTCATTCGTTGAAGTTATTCATTCACCATTCTGTTTCCTTCCATGTTATATAAAAGTTTTTCTATCAGTTCTAATGCGTCGGCTATAGAGATGTGTGTAACTGCAGTTTTCAAAACGGCACCCAATCTGTACACGACACCTTTATAACAGTACTCGAAAATGTAAAAGTGGAAAAAACAACATATGCCACCGTATATACATACGAGAAAGTCAAATAGTAACAAACAATACCACTGCTCATTAGAATTGCTCAAAACTAACGGATAGGGTAAAAGTTCTGCATTAATTTTGTTTTTAATATAACGTTGCGATGGAATTTCCTAGAGACTTTATTTTTGTCAAAAAGAGCAAAGTGTCTAATAGAAAAATATATAAAAGCGTTGTATCGGAAATGTTTTCCGAACAACACAAAAATCTTTAAAGAAAAACAAACTTTATTTTTTCAGCTATGATTGACAATGAAGAAAAATCACAGGATACCAAAGAACGCTATAGAAGCGATTGATCGTTATAAAACACGAAGAAAATTTGTTTTTGTGCAGCAATAGTGTCCTATCCTTACAACGTGAAGCCCCGTATCGAATAAAAAGAAAACCTTTATTAGATGGAATTTTTCTAAATTCGAAAAAGCAACGGAACAGTTTTTCAGCGCCCTTTGTTTAAGGACCTTCGGACAATATTTCCCATATAACGCTTTTATATATTTTTCTATTAGAAACTTTGCTCTTCCTGACAGAAAACAGATAAAGTCTCTACGATGTTCCATCGCAATGATATATCAACAAGAGCTAGATGACATCTGCCCCTGTCTTGTCGGTCGGAGAGTTTCGTAGAATAACAGTAATCAATGTGCGCTATAGTAAGTCTGCATTTGTCTTAGAATCTAGCAGAGTAAGTTAAAACTTTAGGCAAACATCCGACAACCTGAAGAAAGTGGAACCCCGATTCATTTGTTTCGAATGCAAAGATATTTTGATTTTTACAAGACGTTAGCAAAAGCATACAAGCGCTTTCATCTTCCTAGACGAGCATAAATGTTACACGATGTACTTGTTGTTTCTTATTATCTTTAGAGGATATCCAGTTTGTCTGGTGAGACCACTAGTCAGATGCCTGTTTTTCGCCTGACCAGTGAAAGAAATCAAGATCACGAGCTTGTTGTATATATGTAAAAAATTAGATGTGCTGCTCGCTAATCGCCCATACTGCACAAAAATCAGTAGAAACCTAGAAAGATTTCTGAAGACCCTCGAATGTAACCATCAGACTCGGAATATCGTGAGGATGAGGGTGCAAAGCGAAAAAATTGGGCTGATACCAGTGACTATTATATATCTCTTGTCCAGCACAGAAAGCTCTAAGACGTTACTCATCACCTATGAGAACTAGACGGCAATCACGCTAACGAGAGTTGCGAATGGGGTGCGAAGCAAGAACAAGAGAATGAAGGATACGGCAACAGAGAACTCAGTTTTTTGTTAAATTATGTACATTATTGTTCGCAGGAAAGAACTGAATAAAGTATAAATTAGTCACGTAAAAGAGTAATTGCCTTTTTCTGCTACTGATTTGTTAAGCTTCAAAATGTTTGTTGAGACGCTCAAGTATCACTCTATGAATAAAAGAAATAAGCTGAATTTTGGCTTTGTCATACACACTACGTTATTATCTATAACACAGTAAGGCGTCTAGTGACTAGTCATTGCGTTAGCTACTCGTTGAAATACTCTTGCTAGCTCAGGAGCCAAAGTTCTTTGCTACGAGACAGGGTAAAAACAAAATTAATCCAAAACTTTTACCCTACCCTTTATTAGAGAACTAAGAGAGTCTGTCGTGTTCCCATTGTTTTGGGAAATATTCCTGTTAACCTATACAGGAAACAAGGTCTACTTGATGGTCTGGGCTATTAAATAAGTTGGCCTACGACAATGATTGTCAATCCACGTTGCAGTTTCGGAACAATTCAATTATTTCTGCGAGAAACAATTTTTTTCAATGTGATTTTAATAAATTATGATAAAGTACCGATGAAATTATCTTGTAGACTTTTGGAAGGGATTTCTCGTTGTTCGGAAAGTCTATCCGAACTTTACTGAAGAGTGGCAATTATAGCAGAGATAGGCAAGTACGCAGATTCTCGAGTACTGGGCGTCGAGTATGAATACGAGTACGAGTATTTTTAAAAGAAGAAAGTACTCATGAAAAAAGTTATTTTAATGATAGGTTATTCTATGTTAAAAAATTTCAAGTACTCGAAAATACTCGAGTACATTTTTAAGTACTCGTAAAAAAAAGTCCAGAGTACGAGTACGAGTACTGAAAATTTTTTACTCGAGTATACTCGAGTACGAATATATACTCGTACTCCCCTATCTCTGAATATAGTGAAACTTAATCTAAGTTCCTGATTTTTTTTCGTAGTCATGGAAATAAGTCTAAAACCTAAATTGCATACTGATGACACCTATAGGTTTTGAAATGTAACATTTGTGACATTCAAAAACTTTTTTGAAAAATATGCTGATTATCTTTGGTAAATATTCATCTTTATCAAACTTACAAATTTTTTATAGAATGCAGGTAATTTGAATGTATTGGTTGAAATGTTGTCCTATCCAATACAAAGAACAGCATCAATGAAAGCAAAAAAATTGTTAATTCAATATAACACATAGGTGAAAAATAAACATAGTGAAATACGTACAGTACTAGTCTAACTGCTTTCATATTAAACGCTAACTGCACTCGCTTTGCTTAAATGTTTCGATTCGATGTCTGTATTATATTGGGTCAATTAGATGCAGAAAACAAAAAAGTCAAAGAAGGAAAAAGTTTTCGATTCTAATTGCCTAATATCCCAGAAATGACTACTGAGGTGAAAATTATAGAGTTATTTGTAATTCCAATACGGCTAGATGACGATAAAGTTTCATCAAAATGTATGATGAAATGTTAATAAAGAATAATTTACAGTGAAAATTCATGACAGCTTTTGACTACACCTTATCTTGACCTTACAGCACTCTCAAAAAGACGACACTTTTAATTATAAGAAAAACGTTGCAGAATTACACTTCTAGAAAAATTGTCATATTGTAACGCATTTACTATGTGTCCATGTACTTTTTAGTATGATGTTGCCCAGATCCCTCCCATTAGGGAGGGGCTAGTTCCTCCTTAAAAAAGTTTTTGGGCTTTCCGGCAAAATCTTGGACGTTTTTCCACAAGCAACTTTCTAACAAAAATTTCGAAAACTTTTTTTCGCCAGCCACCTTCTGCGAAGCAAAATTTTAAAAAGTAAAAAGGTAAAAAGGCGTATCAAATTGCGTTAGGTACATTTTTTTTCAATTATTTATTGCTTTCTTCCTCCTAACACTCAGCTACAATAAAATGAAATCGAAAATGATTATAGCAGTGAACCCCAAGATCTGATTGCATTTATGGAAGTGAAAAATATAATTGCATTTATGGAACAATAAAAAAGCCTTCCTATGAAAATTTTATTCCGACTTGACCTCCTTTGTGTTTCAGAATAAACGACTAGACTTAGTTGGATTGAAATAAATCTCATCCAGTCGGGTAATCGGAAGTAGGACTCCTTCGAAATACGTTGCGTTTCTGTCAGATCCGATCGCACATATTTGACATGGCCCATAGCGGCAAGTCAACGCCCAGATCATTATCTGTCGAATCTGGGAATATAAGAATATAATTAAGTAACAATAATGTTATGTTCAATTAGTTTTCATTTTTATAGTGTTTTACTCTGACTCACACAATAATCTTTAGTCTATTAACTGACACGGTTAAATGTGTTTCAATGAAAAAAAATTTGTTACGAAAAGAACTTTGATCACTACGAACTTTTTCTTCACCATTTATCCCCCCTCCACACATGGAATCTGCGGACTTTTGTGAGATAAAAGTGAGGCGGTACGCCAATAATAGGGTATCTGAACTTTATCTGCGAAAAGTACTCCCCAAATACATAGCGGTTCGATTACGGTTTAAATACAGCGCGAGAAAGTTATTTAAAATAAAAATGTATGATCGTTCTATTCGTTACATGTTTCCATTAGCGATTCATGAGCAAGGTGATTCAGAAGAGAAATATTCATTTACAAGGAAGCAAAAGAGAAAGAAAGAAATTTACAAAAGTAAATATTAAGATGACGTAATGTCTTCGGTTTGTTACATGGTAGTTACAGCAGAAAAAAGAATATATCTAACAGAGACGTTTGAGAAGATCAGAGTCGAAATGTTAACAGTTATTTCGTTGTAGATAACCATTAACTTCCCCAAAATTGTTTTAAACTCTTCAAATTTTTTTCATGGATCTCTTTTTGATTAGATTGTACTTTTCAGATGTACACTTTAAAACCGCATTCAGCAGAAAAAGTTAATATTAATATTCCAACATGCATGTATCCTCTCAAACCAATTCATGGTGAATCATTATTAGACGACACATTATCATTGATCACAGAAAAAAAGATGAGCAGTTTAAATTTAGCAAGTGAAACGACAGTCAAAAAGAACGAAAAGCAAGTAGGTGTTTTATGACTACTGTTTCATCTACATCGGTGTAGATCATGTTGAAATTACTGTAAGAGGCTATGAATTGTGAGAAAAAGAACTTCTTGCACGTTGAATTTTGTATACCTGCTTAATATCTTGTTTTTGTTTGTAATTATCATAAATATTTGATAGTCATAAAAGATATGTCTAATCAATTTGAAACATTTTACATTTCTTTTTTATATTCGAAAAGAAGTTTGACAGAGCATATGTGTTTCCTGTTGAAACCATTTTAATAATGAATTGAAAAATTTACATTTTAAGACAAAAAATAGCGTGAATTATTGTTGTTCCTCCACTAGATCTCCCGCAAGTATATGTAATAAACTTTCTCTCCTTAACATCTCATATCTATTTGATACCGGTATTGTATATTCATAAATAGTGGATTGTCGTCGGAGAGTTTTACGATTTTTGTTTGTTTTTTGTGTTTGTTCACGGAATTCATCTTGTTCATCTTCATGACACCCATCTTCATAGTATTCTGAGTAATAATCAACAAATAATTGGATTAATTCATCTTTTTTATCAACAAATTCAAGAAACGATTCGTATAAATCACATTGACGTTGTTTAACATTGTATAAATCTTTTTCAATTGTTTTTATTTCCAATAAACATGCGTCAAGTTCACGAGCTAATTCATGTTGTTCATGAAGATCATCCAAAAAATCAGAATCAAACAATGGAATAATATCAGGATTTAATTGAATTATAATGTGATGAACGATTGGAGTTAGCAGTATATTATGTTCATATACTTGATAGGACGGTAATATATTTGCTAGACTATTTCGGTATATAATACTACTTTTTCTTCTATCGATAGGTACTGATTGACCAGAAACAATTGGTTTTAGCTCGTATCCTTCATCTGGAGTTGTAGTGGATGATGTATACAAAAAGTTATAGCGATTGAGAACACGGCGAACATTTGATAGATGTTCAAAAATAGCGAACAAAGCTAACATGATCCACTAATACTGTGATATTCTATATAGAACAGAATAGAGGAAAATATAATCGTAATGGATATTCAACTGATTGATTCACTGAAAATAACTTAAAACTACCTTTCTCTGATTGTGTTCTTCTGTATATTACTATAAAAAATGATTATAACTCGTACAACATTTTGAATGCACCATCTGTCTAGTGAAACGTGATGTTATTTTTCTATACTCTTTGTTTTTTCCAATGGTACAAGAAAACACAACTATTATTTCTCTATAACAAAAACTTTTGTACTAATTATTTATGCTTTTTTCTTTTCAATAATCTAACAGATGTGTGGACGATATCATGTTAAAGTATTAATAATAATATTAATAATAGCATGCTGTACACGAATTTAATCTTGCATTATCTTTCTGTTTAGTGATTTTTAATGAAATCAAAGTTTCCAGGCAAATTATTGTAATACTTCGTATCTAGACTTTTATCTTCCCTAATTTTGTAGTATCATTGCAATAGTAGTATCACTAATCGCATTAGCTTTTTGATCCATTTAATATGTTTTATACTACAAAACATGTTAGAAATTTTATCTCTAATCATTTAATTTCAACCGAAGATTATGCTCCAATGATCTTATTAAAGGGAGTGGGTCATTATCATTTTCTCAGCAACGAAAACGAAACTCATTCCAGTATCATTTATTTGTTCAAATTGCAAGTTGGCCTGGATTTTTAGGCTAATTTTTGTCATGAACTGAGTACACGATTTACTTTCTGTTGATTGTTTTCTGTTTTAATTCACTTTTTTCCACAAGAAAGGAAAGAAAAATATAATTTTCGCTATATGTAGGGATTTAGTTTCCACTGATTATTTTGACAAAGAGAAATAACAAATAACATTTATTCTTAACATAAGAATAGCACTAAGAAAAAAGAAGTCTGTTTAACGTTTTGATGAACATTGAAAATATCTCATATCAGCAGCTTTCAAGAAAACTGAAATATCAATACGACTGACATCATAACGTTGCCATAATTTCATTAAACATTCATCCATTATTACTTTATGTTTTCGACGTTTTCAAGTGGATGCTCCCATATCATCTTGCATTAGATGCTAATGATTGTTGTTTTTATAATAAATCAATAACAACGTAAACGTTTTGATGTGCAGAAGTTACGTGCTTTTTCATTCGAAAATATCGATCTTATAAATAATTAATTGTTCTTGAAGTTACGTTACGATAATGATTATAGATATGTGGTGAAAATCGACAAAATGGTCTATATGTATTATGAGAATAATCAAGAAACTCTTAAACATTGTACGACAAAAAAACGAATGAACAAGTGTCGCCAAGTAATCCATCGTATAACAAAAACAATTTATCTTTTGTTGTCATTCAATAAATCTTTTATAATGGCAATGGAAGTTGTTCAGTCGATCGAGGAAGTGGCGGACGAGTTTTGCAACGTTGCTTTTGTAAGGTATTTTTTATTATATGGATTGTTGGTAAATAACCAAATTGACGATATGGAGTACCAACTCGCAAACATCGAAAACATAAAGTAATAACGGATGAATGTTTAATGAAATTATGACAACGTTATGATGTCGGTCGTATTGATATTTCAGTTTTCTTGAAAGCTGCTGATATGAGATATTTTCAATGTTCATCAAAACGTTAAACAGACTTCTTTTTTCTTAGTGCTATTCTTATGTTAAGAATAAATCTTATCTGTTATTTCTCTTTGTCAAAATAATCAGTGGAAAATAAATCCCTACATATAGCGAAAATTATATTTTTCTTTCCTTTCTTGTGGAAAAAAGTGAATTAAAACAGAAAATAATCAACGGAAAATAAATCCGCGGAAAGTGAATCGTGTAAACCGTCATGAACACCTAAGTGATCAGAGACTTTATCTCGAGGCATCGTGGAGAATGTGTTAATGTAGAAACAATCAATTTTTTTCTATCTAAAAGTGAAAATATTTTTATGCTATTGTTTGCTGTGTCTTATTATCTTATGTTGTATTTACAGCCCAATTCTACGTCATTAGCTAAATCAAACTCGTCATCATCGTCAAAAACAAAACAGTCTAATCACTCAGAGGAAATCGATGGAATCTCTCTGGCTGATATTGAACGTCGACAAGATATTTTACTTGCTAAAGTAGAACGATTAATCAATGAAATAAACAATTATCGATCACTGTCAGCGGTAGGATATCACATATTCTTGTTTTTTATCCTAATGTTATACGATTTTTGTTCGTTTTTAAAGCACTTTGATAAATGTGCATAAAGAACGGATCCTTTTTTAACGAAAATAAGAACTGCTGCATGCCTCACATCCGAATTTATGTAGCCATTACTTATGCTAGAGTCTCTTAAAGGCACTCTTTTCTTCCCCAAGTTTTTGAAGAACGACTTACTGAAGCATAGAGAGATTTTTTTGCACGAATAGGTCTCATCGAGTTATAACTTGTGTAACAGAAGAAACTGCACTCTATGTATTTTTTGTTTTACTCTTCTCTTGTAGATCGTAGACTGTTCATTCTTTTACCAAGAAATTCCTCATTCTTTTCTACAAAATCATCTATAGAAGATGATCCTAAGGTTTGAGACGTTGTCTTAATTGAACACATCCAAATGTCCTAAAAACTTAACAAAATTTAACTCAAAAGAGTGTATTTCGTTCGTATGAACTTGAACTTATGCATTGTGTCCAGACCAAATAGGCCACAATGTAGCACTTACAATTAATCGATAATCGATCGATTAATTGTAATGCGGATTTTCTGTCATTATTCGTGTTCAGTAATGTTTATCACAAAAGTCCTATGACTGTTTTTTTCAGCTTTTTTAGCTTACATTCTAAACCCTTTGTAAAATGAACAATGCTCAGTCAAAAATGAATCAATCAGGCTTATTCCTGCATCATTTTGACATTTGGGTTTGTGTTCAACTAAGACAACGTCTCGAACCTTAAGATCATCTACTATAGATGATTTTGTAGAGAAATAAATAAGAAATCTCTTGGTAAAAGAATGAGTAATCTACGATCTAAGAGAGAAGAGAAAAACAAAAAAAACATAGAATGCGGTTATGAACGATTGAAATTGTGCGCTTTTTTCATAAAAAATTTTTCTCAACGAAAACTGATTCTCTAAAATTTTTGTAACAACTGAATTTTGTAGAGCAAACATTTTTCCACAAGATGAGCTATGCGAGTGGGTATTCTTCGTCTTGATGCAGTGCTTATAAAAAAAATATTTCTTAAAAGTTCCATGATCGATTATAACCGATTTAGGGCCCTTCATCGAAAAGCAATTACGGCAGAAATAAAAAACATGAAAGCTTACATCATAGCTAGTTTTGTTGAAAAAGATTTGCTCTACAAAATCTAGTTATTAGAAAATTTTTTAATATGCATACTTTTCATGCAATCTGTTTCAGAAAAAAAAGTGAAATTTGTCGATTATGACCGGTGCATGTCTAGTTATAGGTCAGAAGATACTGTCCCAACGAAAAGTCAGAACTGAAAAAAGGCAGCTCTACGATATACGCAGTGAACGAAAAAGATCATATTTTTCGAAGCTCTCAAAAAATCACTATGACTTCTTAATTAAGCACTTTTTAAAGTTGGAAAACGTCTCTAAAACAGTTTTAACTATCTGATTTATTGCTGACAAATTTTAACTCATCTCTATAGAGCTGAAAAAAATTTTAAAGCTAAAAATTGTCATGATACAAAAAATTTGAAAAATTTACAATTCCGATGAAATTATTTTTGAGCGTTGAAATGACTACTGTTTTGAAAAGGATACACGATTCTATATACAATCAACCAAAATTCAATTTTTGAGCGTGAAAAGAGGTGTTGTCCTTCAAAATGTTTGCCGTATCTTATTATCTGTGGATTTCGAAATCTTGGCTGAGTAAATCAATCTATTTAACTTAAGTATGTTTCGTTTACTTTAAGGCCGAAAGTAGTTCTGTTGACTCCTCGATAATATCATCATGTATAAAACCAAATATTTCAGTGGATACATTAGTGCCGCTTGTTATCCACGCATCTCCAATACAGCCTCCATTGGCTCTTATTGCATTTTTGGGAATGTTTCGTGATTCATTATTCATTCAAAGTTATTATCATTCCTCGTTGAAAGGATATAGAAATAGTAAATTAGAACAAATTTCAACAAAACAATCAAAAACAAATTCTCATGTAGCAGTAATAACAATTATTTGGAAGGAAGGTTAGTGTTCAATGATATTGAATCTTAGTTTTGGTCTTTTAATCCTATACAAAATTCTATATTCTACATCTGACTTGTATACGAACCAATTTTTAGATTCGCTGATGTGTTATTTTGTTGTTTTTTGTTTATCTAGCTGAATATTTACCATCAATGCTATCATCACCTTCAAAACAAACTCCACTGGTTGGTGAAATATCGATTTTACGTTATTTATCTCGTCTATTCAATTGGGGCTATGATACGAGTAATTTAAATGAAACTCAAATAGCACTCATTGATCAAATTTTGTCCTCAAGTAATAACGGGAAATTTGAATTTTTTCAATCAAAAACCAAATGGCTTACTGGAGATCAAATGACATTGGCTGATCTTGTTCTTTGGGCTCAATTGAAATATCAACAAAAGCCTTTAAAATCAATAGCATCATCATCTTGGTTCAAATCAATGAATGATTTACAGTATTGCCAAAGAGCTAGTACTCTAATACATTAAATGCGCTTATTATAAGTGTTTTACAATGTTCTGAAGAATTGATCGTATAGTAGAAGAAATAACTTTGCGGACGTATTTTCTCACGGAAGAAAGTTGCTAAAGAAATTATTGTTTTATCGATAGATAGAGTAGAGTTTATACTACATCTAGGAAATTGGACAAAGACCTTTTTAGAGCTCTAAAATCAAAATTTAGAAATGCCCCTTCAAGACTTAAAACAAATTGAATTTCTCAATCTAAAACTAAACAAAAGCCTC